GTTAGACTCTACACACACTCACTGGTACACACCACACACTGCTAGACTCACACTGGTGGACTCTATGCCGCAGTGAATACAGGATGTTCTGGCCATACATGGTATGTTTACTAATCGTCCATTACCTGTACAGTTTGTAAGGTAAATAAGAGAAATCTAGATCTAGTTAGCAATAAGGAGAACCTAAATTTTGTTCTGTTTGTTGTAGTGTGGCATCATCGAACCAGGCTGTCTGGGTGCAATTTTCAAAGATCAAAAATAATTTGAAGTTTGGCAAAGATAATGTACTTGAAGATTTCTCATGGTGTATGAGATTGTTAGATGTGGCTGCTTCCCCATGCGCACATACATTATTTATAGATTATTGAGTGCAGTTAAGTCCAGTACACAAGAGCTGAACTGAAGAAAGTGATGCAGGGGAGTACAATGGTTTTTATTATGGAAATGTGCACCTGGAGTGAATTAGAAAATTGCATCCATATAGATAGATATATAAATCTATCTCAATTTTTCTGAGTACATATAACAATTTCATCATTAAAAATTAATCATAAACATGTTTATAGGTAGAATGTCAGTGCAGTATTCAAAGGCAGCTTTTCAGAGCAGTTAATCCTGAAACCCCGAAAGAGCCCTAAATGGTTGAAAAGCCCAAGGATCTGTAGCAGGGATTGTGCAATATCCTCACAATATGACAGAGTATCATCAGCACAAGATAAGATGTGATGCGGTGTGTTTTTAGTGCTGATAGGGACAGAAGTGTCCGATGGGCAGAGTTGCTTGTGTGATTTCAGCTTTAGGTTGATAGTGGTGGGTAAAGGGCACTTGTGATACATGCCCCTAGAGTTAGAGGACAGTGAGACCCCTTGCTGTTTAAAAGCAGCATTGCCAGAGTTAGCATCTGAAATTATTTTAATGAACACCAAACCCACTTGTTCTAAAACGAGTCCGCACTAGGTCCTAATCCACGTGTTTGAGGGCCATTCCCGCATCTAATGGAAGGGTTGCACACAGAGCTTTTGTCTAAATGACAGCAGGAATGATATGAAGGAGATGGTGAACATTACTTCCAGTCCATTTCTCATAAAACCCCTGTGATCACATTGAGTGCATTTAGCTATGTAAGTCACTATTCTGTATGTGAAAACTATGTATATGTATAATTTAAGATCTAGATTGATTAGAAATTATAATGAATGACAAGATGTTTAATCTGCTGACATTAAAAAAAAACAATTCTGCCTAGCCCTGTGTATATGAAATTCTGCATGCCGCCTGAGCAAAAGGTTGAATTCTGTTCTATCGCTGTCCAATTTGTGCTGAACTGTTTCAGAGCTTTTTAGTGTCTTTGTGCAAACAAGAAGTTGCCAGTGGTGCTTTCACCAACATTTATGCAATCAACATATTTAAATGTTTTCTTTTACTTTTGGCTGACATTTTTTGTGACTTTTCTTACACGTCAAAGTTTGAGCATTACGGTTTAAAAACCATGGGAAGTATATATAAATACATTGGTATATCATTTTATCCGTTTGCCCATAGGAAGGGTCTGAATACTTTTGCAGGGCACAGTAATGGTGTTTATGAACAGTCAGAGGAGCCCTTGAGAAGTGTTGTTGTGCTGTTGTTGTAGGGCATAAGTTGTGAAAAAAGAAAGACCAAATATTACACAATGCCCCCGTGGAACAAAGCAATTATCAACTTATTTTCAGCAGAGAGCTTTTTCTAAACTTGTTACAAAACAATATAATCAGCTTCTCAAGTATCTACAAAATGTAACAAAATGCCTGTATTTAAGGTGGAAGGATATAGTTATGCTAAAATTCCTCACTGATAAATTGTGAAACTTGTGCCCACTACCGAATGATATGATATATCATGGCAGTCTGTCTGTGAGCTTCTACACATTAGAGTGATAAGCAAGAGGAGACTGACTTTTATTTTCCAACCCCAAGTTTTGTTGTTGTAATTTTGTAAACTTATCCTTTTTCCTGAACATGGTCAGCCAGGTAAAGCTAATAAGGGCGATAATAAGGATAACACTTTATATGAATGTTGCTGCTTAGTGCTTCATAATCACTTCATAACTGCTACAGAACAAAACTGCACCTACATTCATAATGCATTCTAAGAACATGCACGAATGCCATAATGTGTGCATAAGAAGGAGTTAAGAAGTCATTATACAGCAACATTAAAACAAAGAATTGCTGGAGCAGGAAGAATATTATCGAATAAGGCAAAAACTCTCGCCTGGCTATCTACAATTTAAACATCCAGCTTTTGACACAAGAGGTGGTTCCAGCTTCAAGTAACTGGATTTGTCCCTGTGAGGAGAAAAGAAACCCATTTACAACTGGGACCTTGCAAAACTCACGCCTTGCTTAAATGGTGCCCAAAGACTCGCATTTTTAAGAGTGAAAAGAGTTATTGCTTTAGCGTCGATAGAACTATTTTTCCTTCATGTAATCACTTTATAAGAAAAAAAAATAGAGGCCTGGCAGTAATAGCAGATTGTTTCTCTGCGTATGTACAGCTGTCAATGATGAGTTTGACAGATATCCTTGTTCTGTATGTGTCTACCTCTGTAATTGATTGCCATTCAGTCTAGAGAATGTAGAATTCTATAAATCTGTATAAATTTGAAGGTCACTGACAGGGCTATCAGGCTTGCTTTTCTTAGGCTGGTTATTATTTCATGTATTTTGATAACAAATAGTGGATATAGTGCAGGATAAAGTTGATGCTGCCAACCGGTTACTTCAGTACCAGCCTGTGACAAGGCAGGTTTGTCCCAAGGAACTGGAGGAAATGGCTGCATAAAATAATAAAATAAGGACTGGCAGCATGAAACTCCATATTGTAAATATTGAACATGTTTTGATATTAGTAGGTGTTCAATGTGTTTTTTTTTTCATCTTTGTCTTGCTTATATTCAGCGCTATATTATAGGTGTAAATAGTGTGGTTTAAATTTGGTTGGAGCATCTGTTGGGTGAACTGCAGGGGTTAAGTTCTGTACCCTTCAGAACTCTTGAGCCAGTTCATCTCCGGTGCTCCAAGAGCAATGCTGCAGATAATGAGGCCAGTCTATTACAGGGAGTGTTTATTCTGATTTTTTTTTTTTAACCGTGTGATTAATGCTCCTGGCCTTTTGGTGGTTTATCTTTCAATAAACCCACTACCTTTTGCTTCATTTTGATTCCTGGTGGAAGGCGATTATTAATTCTGCCCTCTTTATGTGGAACGTTTCCAGTTAAAAAAACAAAAGTGATGGTCTGAGCTCTGGTCCAGAGGTGAGTCAAATTCTGGGTGGATACGCTACTGCTGTGTTATTGAGGAAGGTACTTCACTTGAGTTACTCCAGCTTTGCTTCAAAATCAGGTGGTTATTGCAAGCAAGAATCTGTTCTCAAACAAATTACCTGGTTAAAGGTTTGGTAAAATTGTAGCTTTCTCTCCTGATTATCTTGATAGTACTTTTTGGTCACTACGCTACAGAGAGAGGATATTGCTTTCCTGTCAAGGAGAGTAGACTAGGATAATTTCAAGTTCTGAATGAATTCCACACACTGACAGGGAGAAAGACGGTGATTTTTCCTCTTCTTTAAAATAGGAGATAGAGAATATTGAATGCAATATTATAAATGTATACCCAGTCCTTGTAAAAAACTACTAATAGCCAAGTAGAGTGGGCTAAAAGCCTCCTCATGTTGGGTGCCTTTCCCAAGACCTTTTCAGAGAATCTTTTAAACTGATGAAACTGCTTGGCATTTGCATGATATAAGCTGATGTGTACTGTGACGAAGCAGAGGAGACTGGAGCAACGAGACCAGAGTTCCCATACGCATTCCGAACGGAGAGGACTGAGAAATCATTGGAACTTGCTGGGGGCAGGTGTCGGCCTCTGTAAGGAACGAGAAAGAGCATGCAGAGGGTGTCTGCGGTGGGGGGGTTGTGGATCAGTGACATCGTGGGTGCTACAGTTGTTTAAGCCCTGCTCAGAGTGAGATTAGCACCTCAAAAAGGGATTTAAAGAACTGGAAATCACCGGTTATGGTGTTGGATTGTCCACCGCTGGCCAGACAGTATCCACTCGTCAAATCACCAATATTTAGATAGAATAGAGAGAATGCTTGGAGGAAGTAAAAGTGGAGGATAAGGACCAAATCTTAGGGGCAGTTGGGAAGAAACACTGATTTGGTCCTGCCTGAGCTCTTCGAGTTCCTACAACTAGTCAAGCTACCCCAGAGCAGGGTCTGTTAATGTATATTTTTTTGCCCTGGACTTAAATTAATATTAATCACAGAGTGTTTTAAAGTTTTGCCTTAGATTAGGCAGGGTCTTGGGAAATAGTCTTTGTAGCTCATTACTGTTGTTTACACCTCCCTTTGTTTATTGCAGTCAAGGAGACGAGAAAGGCTTATGATGGAGCAGCACTCTGCAAATGTCTTTATTGCATTTTGTGCAGTATTTTTTTTTACCACGGGGACTGAGGCTAGAGGTTAACAGCTTCAACCTTAAATAGTGAAAAACTTTTATCTTTAAAATTGCAAAAGAGAACAAAAAGTGCTCGAGAGGGATGCAACATCTGCGATAACATTCCTGATTTTTATTTTCCACTGCTGAACCATTCAAACTTAGTATATGTGCTGTGCATCCCATTAGATTTTTAACAGTACTTGAAAGCTCCCTGGAAACACACTTAACAAAGTACCACAATTTATCATCATTAGTAATTTAATAGGGTTATATGCCTTTCAAACTTTTTTCCTCTTAAACTTCCCCTGTTAACGAGGCCTTGCAATGCAGCTTGCAGAGTTCTAACTGTGAGGGTTGTGTTGAAAGGAGTCAGCTGGTGTTAAAAAGTGAGCACTCTTCCTTTTGGTGCATTATGCTATGTTTATAATCGAGGCACCGTTTTTCTCATGTCCAGGGATGAAGCTGGTTAGCAGCTTCATGCCTATAACACTGTAATTAATTAGAAAACAAAAAAAATCATTAGTTGTTTCATTCCAGGACTGTTCTTTGTGAAATGTAATGAAATGTTGATCTTTTCATATACCACTTCCATACCCAGCTTAGTCCTGCTTACAATATGTATAGAAACTGCCAGTTTTAAATGTCAAATGGCAATGAAAAATAACATGTTTGGAACAGATATTCATTCTTTTGGTTTTCTTGCAGACAAAAGATTGAAGAGTTGGAGGCAGAGCGCAGGCGCCTTGAAGAGCAGAATAATATGCTGGAGATGAGGCTGGAGAGGCATAACCTCCAGGTAAAACACGAGAGCTGATGGCATGAAGCCTGTTATTTTCCTGTCTGGTTTGTAGCATGTTGTTTTGATATGGCATCCAGCAACATTTATCCTTAAGAAGAACTCTGCCATCCAAAGTGAGTAAATCGATTTGCTGAAAGGTTTCTATTCTGTTAAAAATACAGTTGCCAGATCCAAAACACTTAGAATACAATAACGTTTACAAACGGGAGTTGGCCATTTGAGCCATTTTGGCTGCTTGGTTTCTAATTGATCCAAGGAGCTCATTCAGTCATTTCGTGAAACAACAACATGGCTGGATACTTTATACCAGTTTTCCAGCACTGGTATAAGCACTCCCCCTTCTCGCTTTTAAATACAGCTCTCCATCCTTTTCACTTGTATCCTCTGGGTCATGTTTTGTGGATGATTCTGAAAAAATGTGTCGAGTTGACATCACTCTTGCCTTTGTGCATTCTGAATACTTTATTCAGGTCCCCTTGCAGCATTCTTCTTTCAAGACTAATAACGCTAGGTTACTGTCAGTGTAGGGTATTGATTTGAGCACAGAAATATATCTGATTACTCTTCTATGGACTGTCTCCAGAGCAGAAATATCGGTAATATGGCTTCCAAAGTTGTGCACAATGTTCTGTAGATCTTCCCAGCAAACTGATCATTTATAATACTCCTTGATTTAAATTCAGCAGATTTAATGATATATCGCAATACTTTGTTTCCCTTTCTTTCTTTCCTGCAGTGTCTGGAAGATAACGATGTTGTGTCCGTATAGACAGCCAAGCGTTTATTATCCATCCATTCATTTTCAAACAGCATTATCCGAAGCAGGGCTGCGGAGGAGAAAGAATCTGTCCTGGCAAACGAGAGCACAGGCTAGGGTACAGCCTGAACGGGACGCTGGTTTAGCGCAGGCACAGGCACGCACACACGCACAAACTCGCACGAGAGCCATTTTCCCCAAAAGCCAGTCAGTCTACCAACATGTCTTTGGGCTGTTGGGGGAGACTGGAGCACCCAGAGGAAACACTGTGCACCTGGGGAGAACATGCAAACTCCACACAGACAGCACCCCAGGTCCAGAATTGAACCCAGTGCCCCAGCGCTGTGAGGCAGCAATGCGCTGCTCTCCTGCCTGTGTTTTTCATAACTAGTTTAAATTGCTGTCTTAATACAGAAATCTGCACTGATCTTCATTTAAATTTAATCTACCAGACATTTCCCAATCCTGAATATGGTCTTTTGTTTTGTTTTTTTAACAGGTGCCAGAATGTTTAGCAATCCTTCTATTTTGGTCATGTGTGAATGTGACCAGTTTCCCTCACTGTGGCAGAATCTAGGTCATTGCTAGAACTCACGTAGAGCAGTGGTCCTACTGATTCCTATTGTGCTACACAAATTACATCATCCTAATATGCCTTTTGTACCTTCTGTCCACTAGCCGATTCGTAATTCAACTATATGCATTACCATGAATGCCAGCTGCCTGCAATTTTAGAATTAAATATGAAAGTCTTATATCAGGTTTGTATCTTACTGGCGTTGTTAAAGAAGTCTAGCTAGTTTCTTATGCAGTGGTTTCCTGTTTTAGTTCCAAATATTTTTTCCACAGCCTTTCATGTAGTAGAAGTTAGGCTCATTGGTCTGTAATTGCTTGGTTCAGATGGTGGCACTTCGTTAACGCTTAGGTTATCACTCTACACAATGAGTGTTATCTTTGTCTGAGACCTATGGGTAACATGAGTTAATTTTATTAAGCACAATTGGTAAAATACCATCAGGGCCTGGGGATGAATCATTATGCGCTTCTAGTACCTATAACAGTTATGCCACTTCTGTGCTAATATTATTTAATTTTAAAAGCTTTATGTTTGCTTTGCCTGTGGCATGTTGTTTTTTTTTTCTTCTTTGGTAAATGCCAAGGTTGTGAAATATTCATTTAACACATCAGCCTTTTCCATTTCATTATGTAAATATTTTTAACACTGAGACATTTCATCCTTTACTGTTATTTTGTTGTAATAATACTGAACAAAACTCATTTTAGACAGAATTACATGATTTCTTTCAACATTTCTCATGATCTCTCTCATATTCATTTTAGCCTGTAATTACAGCTTATTATATACTGCTTTTCTTAAATTGGGTCATATTCTTTTTTGAACAGCATACGGAGCTTGATTCTGCATGCATTCTTTTTAATTGATTATTTAACTATCTGGGCTACTGCTGGCCTGGTTTAGATATGCTTGTTCGTGGGATGAGCCTGTTCTGTGCTTTAGGTAGAATATCTTGACATCACTGCCTTCCATTTTCTAATGATTTCGTATCTAACTTATCCCTACCTACTTTCCTTAAAGTGTCTCATTCCTTCATCTGCTTGGTTGTGATTCTACGTACTGTATATGGTTTCAAAGTATGCTTTACAGCATTCTGTATTGCAATCGCAATTCCCTGTTGGTTTTCTCAGCTCTGGTTTCTTCACTCTATCTTGTTTGAAAAGACCAGATCAATACAGACATTCCTTCTGGTAGGTGCTCTGACAACAGAGTAAGGAAGCAATTTTTGGCAATGTCTACCTTCTCACTTTCAGCTGCTGACATTCCTGTTGGGTTTTCTCAATCTCTGTGAAAAAAGTTAAAAGTTTCCAAGAAAATCATTTCTTTCTTTTCACTTCCTTCACTGATAAAAGACTTCGAATTTGTATCTGAACTGGGAGGTCTGTTGCTATACACTTTGTTTCTTATACGTCTGACTTGTGTATATATATTCTGGGACTTGTGATTCAGCTGTGCTCCGTTCCTGTGCTTGAGTGTTCTTCTTGATGTCTAAAGCAGCACTGCCACATTTTCCATTTTTCCTTCCTCTCCAGAGTGCTGTGTATCCACTAATGTTCTATTCATCCCCACAATTCCGTTAGCCATGTTTCAGTGATTACAATTACATCATAATTACATGCTAATGCAAATGCTTCTGTTCCTTGCTTTTAGTTGTGGATACTTCTAGAATTAAATTAAGCTGCACACATTTAATTACCTGGTCCTTTGACTTTTTTTTCTTCCCTTGCCTTCCTTTATTAATTCTATTAGCTGTGCGTCTCCTTTGTATATGTTCCGGGTATTTTCACTGTCTCCATTCTGGTTGAAATGTTTTGGGATTCCTCAGGGGATCTTTCCCCCAATCATAATGACTTCAGAGTTACGACTATGACGTGTTATGGTCCATCTTGTAGGTTCTGTCAGTCTCACTACATCAGTCGTCAGATACAAGTAAATATCCGTGGTGAACTAAACTCTCAAATATGTTTGGGGGAAAAAAAGTTCAACTCTTGAAAATTGCAATGTAAATGAATTAGTTTAAAATGAGAAAAACAGTGGGTTCGCAGACATAAGATTTCTTCTCCTGGAGAAAGAATATCTGAAGCAGCATTCTGCACTTTACGGACTCACTCTCTCAGCCTGGCGTCTTGGAGAAAAGTTAAAGCCCTTTAACTCGGACTACTTGTTGGAGGATTTTACTTTGGGTGATGAACAGTGACATTGACCCATTGGCTTGGGGAGAAAAAGACTAACGACTCAATGCAGCCCATCTACACTATGGACTATTAGATGGTTCAGCACTGGGCACAGTCCGAATGTTACATTTTATTAGCCACATTCCTCTGCATTTACACAGAGGCCCAGGCTGCTTGGTCAAGGCACAGAAACATTATTAGAAATCTTAAGAACTTTTAATTCTAAGTGAAACAATGTGCCTCGCAGTGACAGCTTCAGTTTCATTTAAATCATTTTTTTTCAAGAAGGCACTGGATTTTGTGCCATTTTTTACTGATGCCATTTAACTGTGTAGCTGCATTTTCCTGGAAGCATCACATGTTGCTGAATTGAAGGCAATTTACTGTTTTTTTTCTACTGCTTAACCATTCATTTGTGCTCTGAATTCCTAAACCTTTTATTTTAAATTTAAATCTCCATCCTCTAACCAGCTAAGATTTAGTGACCAAAAAACATCACAGCTAACATGGAGTGAAAATTGAAAAAGAAACCCAGAGTGCCTAACTAGAGTGTAGAAGGTGAATAATAGCTGTGACACAAACTAGCTCATTGTTCTTATGAATTTGGTTTTATAGAGCAGGTTATAAGTTCCAATCCACCTATTAACATTTGGCTTTGCCTTATAAAGTAAGTATTTACTTAAGCTAATTATTATGTACGACCTTATTAATGTTTTTTCTTTGGCCAGGATCTCCAAAAAAACTGAATTTTCTGAAGATTTGATGAGCTGCCCTGTGTGCATTCTGGTACATAACACAGCACCTGAAGCGTTCCTCCCTAGAGATGGCTCCTTTACTGAAGCACATTTTTTCCAGAGTTGTTTCGAATTGCTTTGGGATCCTTAGTGATGTTCTTAATTGGGAGGAAATCATGCGTCATACACCTTCTTAATTGCACCAGTAATACAATAATTACTATTCTAAGCTACAAAGGAAGTCTCTACAAATTGTATTACTGGAACTAGTTTAACAGAGTTAAAAGCATGCCTGATGAGAGCACAAAAAGAGAACCTTATTGTGGCATGCTTAGCTGAAATCTGCACTAGAAAACCACAAGGCTTTCATTTCCACCTATTTTAGGTGTGAGTGAATCTCACGTTAACTGTGGGGGAACCAGTGCAGTCATGAAGATCTTGGTGTAGTTCAACCTCACAACTTCCAAGTCGATCTGTGCAACGCTTCCAGTGCAGTGGTGTTGTTAAGATTTGTAAGCAAAATGGTGGTCAGGCAGCCATTGTGCTCTATGCAAGAAAACCATCTTGCCATATGTTGGTCGTATTGTCATTATAACAAAGAAGTTTGAAGCTAATTGGCCGAACAGTCCTTGAACAGGAGCAGTATGCGTCCGAGACCACCTTTGCCATGCAATTGGTGACATGCGGTGCTAGGTCAATTATCACAGCATAGCGTCCAGTTTTGTATTGTCATGAAATGTATATTCAGGCAGCAC